TAGGGTTACGCCATAGCGAGGGTGATGGATGATGGGTAGAGGGGAGGCTAGCAGAGCTAATTTAACTGGACGATGAAAGGGCGGAAATGGTATCAAAAAACGGTGAAGCACACAGGGTAGCTAACAGTCTCTATTTGGGAAGGCCGGTCGGGGTCGGAACCCTGCCGAACGGGCGTGAGCCCTTATGTGTTCGGCCGAACACTTCGCAGCGAAACCGTCAGCTGCCACTGTGCGTCGTGCTTTTAATTACTCGCACATCAAGGCTGTAATTAAAGGCACTAGCCCAAAGCAGGTATTGCGTAACTGCACCCAAAGCAGTTACACCAAGAGCCAATCGTCTTGTCCGTCGTGGGGGTGTCAAATCTCTTTAAATCATCCACGATGACAAACACGAAAAACCTTGGACCTCAAGATCCAGGTAAGCCCTTAGACTGGGTCAAGATTGGTCTCCCTTTTATCCGGCCAGAGGGGGCGCTAGGGGCGCAAACAGGCGTGGGTGAAGCGAGGGGCAGTGAGCGTGGGGCACGCACATGGCGCCCCTGCCACAACACGTGGTCTAGATGTGGACACACATGGGAAGTAGGTATTGCATGTATTGTACCTTTATACGCTCGGCCACCACCTCAGCCTCGTCCTCGTGGCGTCCTCTGAATCACTTTAAGGGTGACCTATCATCGTACCCCATATGTTGGTCGTCTCGTCGCGTTCCTGTTCTCGGTTGTCCTCGTGCATCTCCTCGTTGTCGGCCTCTTCATCTTGGTCCTTGGTGCATCCATCCGTTATCGACGTCCACACGTCCTCGAAGGTTTCGCCTAGGTCCTCCTTGACTTCGGTTCGTCCAGTCGTCCTCGCAGTCCTTATCCAGGCATTACTCGCAGATTCGTCCAGGTCCTTTTCGGCTGCGGCTCGTACCGACGTCCTCGTAGCCTGCGCGTCTAGGTCTACGGCGTCCTGGGCAGGGGCGTCCTTTCGTCTGAGGGCGTCTTACTCCTGCGCTGGGGAGCTCCTGGAGTTTAACCGATCTACGGGCGTCCAGGCAGGCGGCTTTTCATAGCATCTGGGGCCTGCTCTGACGAGTTCCTGGTTCTTCACCGGATCTACGGGAGTACTGACAGGCGGGCCCTTCCACTGTTGATGGGCGGCTTAGTACCTGCAATTTCGCGAGTCCTCGTCCTTTGGCCTGCGGCGATCTTCTGGCGATGTTCGTCTCACGGCATTGCAAGGCGATCGTGCTGCAGTTAGATCTCCTTTGATGCCGTGTCGGATATACACGTCCATATATATACATTATGAACCAGTTTATACACGTAAGGGCCAAGATAGTAGAGAAAAAAAAAACAACAGAGAGGGAGGGATGTTATTTAAGTGCTGTAAGCCGTTATTTTATGCTAATTTGCAGTTTTTATTTATTTTCGTTTTTTTCACTTTTGTATTTTTCAGGAGAGAAAATAAATGAGGGAGAGGAGAGTAGCAGTTCTCACGAACTTGCTTGAGCTACTAACCATCTCAGATAGACATGAGAATAGATAAGGGAAATGACATCGGCATCCGCAAGGATAACTTGAACCGATTGTCATTTCATAGATAAGAAAAATATGTATTGTGCATCATTTCCACTAATCACGATCAGCAACGTCAACAAGGCAAAGAATAGCCTTGGACATGACACAACAAATCCTATACATGTAGATTTGACTTAACAGTGTTCTGTTGAACTGCGTGGAAGAGTGTGTGAAATGATTGCGTGTATGTTTACTCATCACAGCAACATTGCGGGTAAAAGAGATAACCTGCAATTATGCACAACAAATCATATAATTGAAGATTTGACTTTACAGTGCCTGATTGCGTGAATGAGTGTGTGTATGTAATTATGAGTGTGAAGAGAAAGCGAGCTCACACGAAGATGGATCACAAACACGAATTTAACGTTCATCTTAGCAAATGTTATGATCATTACTATGTCAATACAACAATTATTTCAATTACCCCAAGAATTCAACATTAAAATGAAATGCGACTTAACGTACGCAAATGAATGGTGACATGAAATTTCTTTTGCAAGCTTCCGCAATGCAAGCATCCCAGTTCAGAAATGTTTCTTATGCTATCCCCGATTATTTAATCGTACTTACGGATGCAACAAAATCTGATACACTGAGGAAATAATATCTCGCGTACGCATGTGAGAGCTAGTTTTCATCGACAGAGGGTCCCTTATGCCCAAATTATCTGAACGAATGAAGTGACTATATGAGACTCGAATTTTATCGTTAGTCTTACTCTACAATCTGTGAATGGCGCACGCAGATATCAACTACGAATCACACGATTGTCGGAATTTTCCGGACATGCCAGCGGTAAAGAAAGTTGAGAAGTGTTTTACTAAGCGAATTAATTCCAGCTTAAACCCTAGTCCCTTTATACAGACGTTAATACGGTCACACCGACTCAATATGCCGAACGAATGAGTTATGCTTCAGTTTCATTACTTACTCTC